TACTAACTTGTCTTCCTCCTCGCCAGTAGAATTACACCATTTCAGGAATGTCTTCAAAAGCGCGGTAATTCTGCGATCATCACCCGCACCTTCTCCATCAATCAACAGCCTCTTCCGAATGATATCATCTTAAAGTAGAAAACACACACAATCAACTTTATATTGACAACACAAAATGGAAGTGTTTTTGCGTTTAAGTCCCCTCTGACTCACCGTCGGTTGCCATCTTGAAACTAACAGAATTGTGCACCTGCGAGAGTCTGGGAAATAATTTTCTATTCGTTCGATGGTGTAGATACACATGATTTGTCTACCAACACCAAGAATGGTTTCTGTTCGTAATGTTGTTATAATCGTGAAGCAAATCTTGGAAGAGTGGATTGTTCGGGAGTCTGGAATACTGTCCAAAACACAATGCGAAACCTTGCTACGTTCTGAAGAGACTATCACTACCTTACCTACAAAAAGAGGAAATTACCCGAGATATCCCCTTTATGAGGACATTTCAAAAAAGTTACATCAGTGGCTGTCCACTGGGAATTTTCCTGTAAAAAGCGAAGCTTGTGGATTACTTTCGGAGGAAAATTTTGTTCAAGAAAGAAAAAGAGTTTATGAAAAAGTTTCGCTGGTACTGGCCTCCCTTAACGATTCTTGGACAGAGATTTCTGATGAAGAAAAACATCTTCAGTTTTCTTCTATCATAAAAATTCTTGGCGTTAGAGGATTGCTTGATCTGCTTAATATTCGTCACACGCAAGGAAGTGTTGATATTTTTCCTCCTCCTGTTAAAGTTCTAATAGAATCCTTCAACGAGAAACACAAACCAAATGCCAATTTGACAGTTGGTGCAAGGGCCTTGTCTAAACACTGCCACAGGGATTCCAGTGAATGGTGGGGTGCCTGTGCGGGTAGTGAACAAGTTAAGAACGAACATGCTATTACAGTTGTAATGCGTATACTAGAAGATGCTTCATGGATTAATATCCACCTACTGCCACATGAGCTCAAAGTTATTGAAGTGAGGTGCACTGAAGGTTACGGTGCAAGATGGAGTCATGATGGAAAAGTTTTCCGTGGATTTCTTGAGCCTCAAATGGAGGATGGTCATGCAGCAGGATGGAAGCATTGAACTTGTAGCTCACTGTCAATTTAAATTCTTTTTTCTAGCTAATATATATTTTCTTGTAAATACTTCTGAGAATCTTTTCTAATCTCCTGTTTGGTGATCATTGTATAATTATAATTAAATTTTTTGGAGGGGAAATTTCATTTAAATCACCCCTCAAAGTTAGGGATCAATTTTGGTATCTAAGCAACTGCACACCCTACCTACCTATCCCTCCCTAAGCCCAACCATAGTCAATTGATGACAAGTTAGGGTTAACATTGGGTTGGGGGAGGGGCTGGTATGCTGTTGCCCAAATTCTGACATTAATCTGAAGTTAGTGTTAAGGTTACTGTAATATTTAGCAAGTTCTTAAGATAACTTACTTGTGAAAATCAATACTCTTCTGGTAAAGTTTTACCACATTATTTACTGATATCTGTCAACATAAATGTTTATCATAAAAGTACAAATTGTTAGGAAATATACATATTTGGAAATGATCCAAAGAAGTAATAAACAGCAGTTTTCTATCGCATCAGCAGAATCCATGCAAATGCATAGAACTGAACCTCTTTGGTAAAAGTCAATAATCTTCCGGAAGAGACACTTCAATCCAGTTATTTTGTTTATTAATAGACCGCTGGCTACAAACGTGCCAGCGAAGGGGTTTTGAGAAACTCGTTCCCAGGCCGACAGAGGTTCTTGACCCATGTAAATGATGGCGGTTCGAATATGTATATTTCTGATATTTTTCTCTGACTATTTCTCGATTTACTGCCGCGTTTCAGCATACAAAATTGTAAAAGTTGCAAACTACAACATTTGGAATGTTATGTTCCAGTGGGAAACAAGAAAATACTTCATTGCGGAAATGGTAATTTTTCACGTTTTTTGATATAATTTCATATCCGTCTCTTGACATTAACATTCAACCTTCACATATTTATGTGTTTCCCGCTGTTTTGTTTATTTTTTTTTGGTAAGGCTATTCTTATAATCCCAGCGAAAATAGTCATTTGAAAGGTTAGGTGACTATTTTTCTGGCTACGTTCAATTTAAAAAAGAGAAACAAATCAAAAGAGAACTATTTTAATCGATTTTTATATTTAACAAATTTAATCAAATTTAACGTTGTTAAATTGACGAAAGTTTTCGAAATTCATAAATATTAGAGATTCTTGATGTTGAAAAATCAAAGATCGCGAGATTCTTGCTCTTTTTCAATCTTTATAAAATGTTTGTTGGTGTTAGTAGGTAGCTGAGCCCGGTCAAATCTACCTGTCAGTTAACCCGTGTCAATGCCCGTGTCCACATGTTGGGAAGGGTTGAAATTTGTTTTATATTGACATCAACTTGAAAGCTTGTTTGGGTTGGTACTTTCACTCAAATAACCATGTTGGATTTGTTAGTTTTGTTTTCACATTGTGACATACTGCTATTCTGTCAAGGGCACTCAAGTTTGTATTTATTTTTATTTTTGTTTTATGGTTTGCAATTTATTATTCCAGATAAATAAAATTAACCCAGATGTGATTGGTTTCCAAGAAGTGAGGGCTGATACTAAGGATGAAAGAAACCAGTTAACCGAGCTTCAAGAGTTAATTCCACGGTACAAACACCTAGTTTATCACCCTGTTTCCGTGGTTACACACCCAGCTGGTCAACAAGGCCCACCAGGGTGGGAACAGGAAGGCCTGGGACTACTCAGTAAACATCCCATAATACTAAGTCATGTTGTGAACCTTACCATCGGGAAAGGTGGTGTTGATCGCAACAAGAGAGCTATACTTCATGCCCAAGTTGATATTGATGGTGATGAACTGGATATAACAGTGCTTCATTTATCTTACGATAAAGCTCAGCAATGCCAAAATGCAGTGGATGTCATTAACTATATTGCATCAATGGGAAGTGAACGCTCTGTTTTACTGGGTGACTTCAATGCATACAATGATTTCCATTGGCCTGTAAATGGAATAATGAAAGGGTCCTTTGACAAGCAAGGCCCATGCCACGCATCCAGTCATTTGGATCCACAGGGATTAAACCAAGGATATGGCTTTGTGGATGCCTGGGTGACAGCAAATGGGAACAGCAAGGGATATACCTTCAGCAATATGGTGTGTTGTAGAAAGGTTTTTCTGCCATGCTCTTGTATAAATGATCTTATCCTTTTTTTTTAATAGCATTTAATAATGTATATGAAAAAAAACTTGCTTCTGATTGGCTGAATGCAAAGTTGTTACACTAATGTAAATTACAAATAGCGCACCCTTGCTTTCAAAACTTTTGTCTGTCTTAACTTCCAGTGATGTTTTTCCATCTACATTATTAACAAGTAATATCATGATTCCTGTTGCAATTTGGTGTAATGAGCACTTGAAAATTTTTCAGATTCCAAATTGCACTTGCCCTACAGGCTTGTGCAATTTTGTTGTCTTTGAAAAAGACTAGTGCTTATTAACACCAAATTTTATTCAAAATCATGTTATCACCTATACAAATTTCATCCCCTCTTTCAGTTGTGCTGCCAAAACAGACTGCTTAATATGCAGATTGCTGACAGGATTTGGTTTGCTGCTTAGCCTCCTATGCTTGCTGTTAAGTTGAAAAACAAAAAGCCAATACCTTCTTTACCAACGTCACTTTGACTTGTGCCCTATCCATTCCAAGAGCATTTTGCAGAAAAATTTTCCATTGGTTTATTTTGTCTGAACATTATCTGACTTAACCTTTTAACTCCCAAGATCTCATTAGTAATTCTCCTTACTGTCTGCCATACAGTTCTTGTGATATTAGTTTGGAGAATTTGGTATTGGATCAACTCATAATCCCCTAATTGATATTTTTTCTTAATTCTCATAACTTGTCTCCTTGATTTTGTGTTGATATTGTAAGGAGAAATTCTGTCTTGGTCATTCATGGGAGTTAAAGGGTCAACAGTATCATGTTCTTTTGGTTTCTTAACACTGATCTCAAAGCTCTTGCTAAGGGCACAAGCTAAAGATAAGCTTATTTTCTTTCCAGCCAGAGCCCGGACTCATTAGTCGGCCAGACAGGATCCTTGTTTCTTTAACTGGACTTCAAGTTGTGTCTGCTGAGATTCACGGAGATGGAAAAATCTACCAACAAAAGTACAGCTTGCAGAATAAATGGCAAAGGCTTAAGAAAGCATACCTCATGGCCAAAGAAACTGCTTATGGTCCACGTTTTAAATACACTTGTCATCAGGACTGTGGCCCTCATGGATCATGTCGGTGTGGTGTTTGTGTTAAAGGAGGAGATACAAATAACTGCGAGTTGCCCTTCTGCTTTGAATGCAATGCCGAGCACTTAAACAATTTTATCTTAATTTTTGTGCTATATTCCACAACTTTGGTATTTTTCCTGTACATTCTCATAAAAATGTTGATACAAAGATGTTTTTCAAAGACGAGAAGAGTGCATGCCAGGGTCTTGTTTTTGTTGTCGAATAGAACACTAGGAATAGTTGTGGTTTGTTTAATGGCTGCTCTTTACTTCATCACAATGACTTTGCTACAAGACACCTTGGAAACTGTTAATGGAAGGATTGCAGAAGAAATGTTTCCTTCAGATCATATGATGGTCACTGCAAGCTTGAAGTTTACATATAGATAGCACAAACTGATAATCAAAATAAGTAACCATGGTCCATGGTCTTCCCAACTGAATTTAAATAATGTATTCAAAGAAACAAGTGACCAATACTTAAAATTTTTTATTCTTGAGAAAAGAAATTTACTTACC